AGCTTTTTTGGTTCCCGAGTAAACATTTCCGCGCCAAAAAATTTCACGGGCCCGTACGTGAAAACTACTTGCACTTAGAAGCTGAATTTGATAACTTTAAGTTGTACTTGTGCTGTGAACATTCCCTGAAAATTCCAGCCTCCCATCTTTCTTGGTTCCTGAGTTAGCCATTTTCGCGTCAAAAAATTCACGGGGTCGTACGTGATAACCACGGATGCATGGGAGCTGATTTCGCTAAATTTGTACACGTGCTATGAACATTCTCTGAAAATTTCAGCTTTCTAGCTTTTCTGGTTCCCGAGTTAGCGATTTTCCCGCCAGGAACCCTCACGGGGCTATACTTGGGTACCACGCACACTTGGAGGCTGAATTTGAAATCTTTGAGTTCTATGGAGACAGGGACATAGCCTCAAAATTTCACCTTTCTAGCTTTTCCGGTTCCCGATGCCGGTTTTTCCGCCAAAACTTTCATCCCCTCGTGCGCAGGATCCTGCGTGAGAATTGATACCGCGGTCCTGGGGTGGCACTTGGCCTGTGAACCCACCAGCAAAGTTTTGGCGCCGGAGCTTGCTTGGGTGCCGAGTTGAAATATTCGGACAGACGCACACGCACACACACGCACGCACACACACACGCACACACACACACACGGGGTCGTCACAATATGTGTTTTGCAAAAACGCATAAAAACTGGAAATTGTTTGCACAAGCACTTGATTTGATTAAAAGAATGCAGCAGCAATGAATTTTGGTTGGTTGGCACCGGAAGAACGGTTGGAGAACGAGTTGCGCTGGGACGTAAAAAACGCGCTTCTGTCTGATGAGAGGGCCGGGAAGGGTTATTGACTTTAAGTAATGAGAACACAGAAATCACTTGTACAGGGAAACAGTGAATGATAAATTACTTGTAAATCGCTTCCGAAAAAAAACATGCCCGAATTACGCTGATGCTTGCGCGAAGCAACATTTTGTTTTGGTAGATGGTACTGTTCCGTGCAAACGTGAACGTACGCCGACTAGGTAGAAAAGAACTTCGTGTCGCCCATCTTCATCTTATCGTGGCATACTGTATTCCAGCGTCTTTTTCCAATGATGCGCGACAAGAGATATCGTTGTATGACAATCACAAACGCCGTACTGATACTCCTCAATGTGATACTGCTTCTGCTTGTCCTCGTATTATTGATCTATTATGTTTTCCTGATCATTCGAGTAATTTTTTCGCATATTACATTTGCCCCAAAACGTATCCATTGGCCAAGGAAAGAGGATCTCCGCTGCTTTTCCGTGCAAAATACTATACCTAATTCAACACTCGAATTACGCACCTAACAGTTCAGTTCGTGACTGCTGTCAGATGTCTGACACCGTATACGCATGCATTTAATCCTCTTTTCGGCTGAATTCAACATTCAAAAAAGGCGCATAATTTATCATTTAAAATTCAAAAAATGCTATTATCCTCAGTGGGGACCTCGGATTTTACAATCCACGGTGGGCTTGAGGAGGATCCGCAGAGTCGGATTCATACATTCCCTTTTCGCCGGTCGCGGAACTGTATCAGTACGTAGCTCTATAATTCACAGCTGGTGGCCCTAGTTTTACATCTTCAGTCTAAGATCCTACAAAGAGATCACCTTACCCAAGGCACATTCGGGCAGTGATCTTGAGATCTGTTATATGCGAAATCCAGTAAATAAAAATTTATTCTGCGGATTGCCTTCAGTGAATCCTGCGAAATTTTTGGCGATCAGTGCTAGAAATTTTAAAGTATATTTTTTTTTCAATCGGAAATTTGACCGAAATCTATGGGTTTTAGTGGTCTTTAGAGCGCGATGATGAGCTGCTTAAATGAACAGGGCGTAGGAATGTTCTAGGTGAATGAAAGAGAATGCTTTGTGGAACGAGACTTTTGGGATTAGGCTCTTTGCTAAAGAACTCTGATGATCAACAGCTTGTGGAGGAGGAAAGGTGTGAAGGTAAACTCGCGAGTGGCGTACAGTTAGGTGTCGGTATCATAAGTGGATCCAAGACATCTCCTACGGAGGAGGGGGCGACCCTCCCTTCCCCATTCGTCACTATACCCCTCCCATTCAGGCAGCTCTCAGCCCACCCTTTGATCGTCGCGCTACCTCCCCTTACGCCTCCTCCTCTCTCCCTCCCCTTACTCTCACCAGTGGACACTAAGATTGACAAGGCTCCTGGGAGACGACAGAGAGTACCAAACATACTTTTCCGCAGTAAAATAACTGCTACATATATCCTTGGGGCGAAAGGCCCCTTATCCCCCCCCCCCCCC